TTTCTGCCCCAGAGGAAGAAGGAGGAGGTTTGGGTGCTGTGAGAGCTGAAGCAGGAGCAGGGCCTGCACCTCATCCTGCCTCATCCATGAGCTTTCCTGGAGGAATTTTGGGATTTCTGGAGTTCCGTGGAGAGCAGGGACAAGAGTGGCTCCTGAAGGGCCTCGATGCAGTGAGAGTTTCCTGTTTATGGCTCAGCTTGGAGAATGTTCAGTCGCTTTTTCATCTAAGTTTCTTTATATAAATATTGARTGGCACTTAGGTTTTTGTTGGTGTAATGGACCCTGATTTATCAGCCAAATGTTGTGATTTGTGGGTATAGATATTTGTGTGCACATTTCCTTTATTAATCTGTGTATACACAGGATTGTTTGCCAACATCTGGTTTTGACAGCTTTTCAGTTATTTTCTGCTCCCTCCCTTAGTCCTCTTTTGTTTCTTCATTTCCAAAGCACACCCAGTTTTTATTGTGTGGGAAAACCTTTTCTTTAATCGCTCCTGCTTTTCGATTTAGCTCGCAAATGCATTTTCATTCAAAGTGGTGAAGTTAAGCTGAAAATCAGAAAAGCTTGTTTTSCTCTTCTCTTGTATGACTGAAAATAAGGTGCCAGTTCTGCCACATGAAGCGTGTCATGATGAGGAGCTGACAGGTCTGATTTGATAACTGCAATTAATATTATTTGTTCACTAATTCCTTTTTAAATAGAAAACAAGATTTGGGAGGGGAAAACATGCATTTAACAGAGCTAAGAGAGGGTAGATTCCAACTTGCTTGATGTTTTTTAAAATACGTGGGTTTGCATCTTTAATGCAGYTCTGTATCCAAATGGATCTGCTCAGAATTTCCAGGGAGTAAATGTGCCCTGAATGGAGCACATTGGAAATCCTGTGTGCTCCAGTTCATTTTTGGGATCAGGAATGGGGTGTGCAGGCTCTGTCAGTCCCAGCMCTGAGCACAAACCCCTTTGTTCTCTGTGCTTGGGAGAAATGTGGAGGAGATCACTGGGAATCAGCTCCATCTCCTGTTCCCTGATTCGAAATGAGGATTCAGAGTGGGATTAAATAATCCCACCATTGCCCAAATTTTACCATTTCCCAAATCC